ATCTGCTAGTGAGTTGAGAAACCCCAGCAAACTGAGGTACCAACGAACCTGTACCGCAGAACTCTGGATAAACTGAAGCACCAGACTCCTTGCCTTGATGAATTTCTCCTGAGTTGGAAGGACTATACCCCTGGCTACGTTGAACCGGTAGCCTAGGAACACAAAGTCCTGGGAGGGAGACAGTTCTGACTTCTCTCGGGAGGGGATGAACCCGACCTTGAGAAAAAGACTCAGAACCAGTCGAGTATCCTGCACCAGGGACTCCCTCAGTGAATGAAGCATGAGGGAGTCGTCGAAGTAAATATGGATGTTGATACTCCGCTGGTGCAGGAAACCTACCACAACCTGCAGTAGTTTGGTAAAAACCATTGGGGCTGTGGTAAGGCCAAAAGGCATAGCCCGGAACTGGAATATCTTGCCCTCGCATGAGAAGCGAAGATACTTCCTGTCCGACTTCCTGATGGGAATGTGGAAGTAGGCATCCTTCAAGTCTATTGAAGTAGCCCACATTCCCTCCCTGACCGAGGCAATAATGCCTCTCGGGGTCTCCATCTGAAAGTGGGGAGAGTCCACGAACCGATTGAAGGCACTTAGGTCTATAATCGGGCGCCAAGCTCCCGACTTCTTCTTCACCAGAAAAATTCGGGAATAGAAGCCTGGAGAGTACCGGCGCAGTGGGAGCTCCTCGACTGCACCCTTCTCGACTAGAGTAGCAATTTCCCGTCTGACAGCTAGAGCCTTCTCTAGATCCACCGGGGGTGGGAAAAAGATTGGCTTTGCTGTGAGCGGAGGTTCCCGTAACAACGGGATGCTCAATCCTTCCGCAACTATTGACAATGCCCAACTGTCCTGAGTAATCTCCTTCCATTGAGGAAGGAAGGCGGACAGTCGACCTCCTACTGGAAGGTCCGGTTGAGGAAGGCCAAGACCTTCCCAAACGTCTATGGGGCTGTCTACGACCGTTATGAGACCGGGTAAAAGAGACCTCTGATCTACTTGCCCGGACTGAAACGGAAGAGTTGTGGAAGGAGGGGAGAAGTCAGGAATACTGCTTCTTACCCCCAGAGGGTTTGGCACTCTGCTTGCCCTTACCCTTGGCTTTGGCCTTAAAGGTAGACTTAGCCTTAGCCGCAGACTGAGTCTGGCGAGGCCTCGACTTAGCCTTCTTCTTGGCCTGGCCTGAACCCCGAGGGGTTTCAGCCTTACCAGCAGTCGACACTTTTGAAACCAAAAGTGCCGAGGCTACTGGGTCCTCCTTAACTTCCTTCTGAATAGAAGGAAGGGCACCCCCAAAGAGCCAAGGACCCTCGAAGGGAGAGGACAAAAGCCTGGAAAGGTAAGGTTCCTCAATAGGCTTACCTTTAAGCACAGAGGCTCGCCTGGTAAGAACCAAATTGGCCAGCAGTGTACACTGCAAAGCTGCAGAGGCCTTCAGACAGTTGTGCAAGGATGAGGTCACCCTATCCTGCACAGCCCGTCTGTCACTCTCATCAACCTCTGACTCCCTGATGGGCACTTCCGATAAACGGAAAAGGGTAACCGTCAGGAAATCAAAATATGAGAGTACCTGGAGAGAAAGCCGCAGGATTTTCTCCAGTTTGTGGTGTTCCTTGGCAGAGAACACCACCTGGTCAGTCGCCGGTCCTGGCCATTGCCGAAGCTCGTGAGTTTCCAGCTTAGCTGGTAGACTCTCAAGTTTGGCGTTGTGAATGGCGTAGTCCGAGGATCTAACCTCAGACAAATCTGCCAAACTCAACTGCAGGCCAGCTGCACCAGATGCACGAGAAGACGAAGCAGCCTTCTCTGCCATCCTAGCATGGGCGACAGCCAAAGCCGAGGAAACAACTGAACCCTCAGGCAAAGACTTGTCAGGACGCGCCAAAACCTTAGGCGGAACCAGCTGACTCAGCAGCGTTGTCGCCTCTGGAATGGCAGACGCCAAAGGAGGAGGACAAACCTTCTCCCCGAGGATTCTGGCTACGTCAGCGCGAAGCGCTCGCATGCCAGCCAGAGCACGGTGGGCTTCAGCCTCAACCTCAGGCTCTACCTCTATCTCAGCCAACACCTCATCATCTTCTGATTCCGAAGAATCAAAATCATGATGAGGAGAAGGAGGTTCAGACTGAATCTCAGTCATCACACTCCCAGGTGACAGGCTGAGGACGTCATCGTCCCTGTCCCCATTCTCCATTTCAGTACCCCTCCTGGAAGTAGACACGGAAGTGTCTACTGTCGAGGGCAAGGTAGAGTTCTGGAGACTCTCTGAAAAAGTCCTCTTACGAGCTCTCTTCGGCTCCGAAGGGCCAAGATGAGACTCTGAAGATCTAAGAGAGGCGGGGATTTTGGTCTTGGAGCGAGATGTCCTAAAAGCCCTAATAGGTCTTTTAAACACAACCTCCTCCCCAGCCCCAGAGGTGGGTAGGAGCTGAGCATTCAGCGAGCCCCCAACCTGCTGAGGTGAGACCGGTCCCCAACCCTGATTAAATCCCGGAGGATAACCGGAGTTGTACCCAAATCCCTGAGGAAATGGGGCCCTAGGACCATAAGGAAAAGAGTGACCCCAGTACTGATCATACTGACCAGTGGGTACATGGGAAGGAACACCCTGACCAAAAGGAAAAGGTGAACCGCCACTCCCTCCCGGAGCGAAACCAGAAATGAAAGGCCTAGGGCCAGACATATGACCGGATTGCTGCTGGAAAGCACCAAAACCATGATGCACAGTACCCGAAGCATGAGGCCCAAAGGACTCATACCCGAGACCATGGGGTGTCGCCCGACTCTTGTCAGACTTGTCACCTTCTCCATTACCCATGGGCGCGGCCCACGGGTTCCGTATGGTGCAAGCTGGCACGGAATCGACCCCGACAGGGTTGATACCGGATACCTGACCAGGAAAGAGAAGGGACCGTGAAGAGTCATGAGAGGTGGCAGTGCTGCTACACTCTGTGGGGCCCAGATAATTCGAAGAATTACCACTCCCCATCACAGCAGAGGACCCAAAAGGATTCTCATTCATGACTCTATCCCCACCAACAGACGCTCCAGGACTGACTAAATAGTCAGAGACTGGAGGAGGGCCCACCCTTTCCAGAGATGAACTAACACCAATGGAAGGGGGGCCAACCTCCTTGGCAACAGGATAGCCAACACCTGTGCTCTCTAGGCTAGAGCCAGCCAAGGACTGGATAGTCTTGGGACCCTGCAGGGCCTCTGCCAACGAGGTACCTGCCAAAGGACTCTCCGTGGGGTCGTCGGTACTACCGGAGGAGGACCTAGTCTTGTCCTTCCTCTTACCCCGTTTGTCAGACTTGGAGGAGTCCTTCATGGTTCACAAACAAGATAAACAAACAATTCAGCCTTTATTTGTAAAATAAAATAATTTTAATTCACAAAAAATCACCGTAAACGAAAACGAAAGTGAAAGTAAACACTCACGAAAACGAACGGGAACCAAAACACGTGGCAATGGTACCGACGTTTTACAACGAAATACGGTGAATAAAGGCAAAAATATATATCAACAATAGCAGGGCCCTTATTTGTAAAAATTAAAACAATTTTAATTCACAAAAAATCACCGTAAACTAAAACCAAAGTGAAAGTAAACACTTACGAAAACGAACGGGGACCAAAACACGTGGCAATGGTACCGACGTTTTACAACGAAATACGGTGAATAAAGGCAAACAATATATATAAACAATAGCAGGGAAACTGGTATAATATATGAAGTATGAAAACAAACAATGACACAGGTTACCGCCCTCAGAAAACTTGAACGAAGTCCAGGGTAGAAATAACCGCCATGTGCTTCTTTCGAGTTGAAGAAAGAGGAAGTTGGAGGTGCGCGCGCATCCTACACCCGTATGTCCGGTTTGGACAGGGAGTAGTTTCGCATTTGCGCGGGGCATTTGAAACTTTACTTTGGGAGTTAAAGAACTGGTAGTTGGAGATCATTTGCATAATAATTGGACGTGGTAAGTATTGTTTTTGATATAAAATGTATAATTCATTTCGAAAACAATGAAGTGGGCATATTTACATTTAATAAAATATCATTGCGCAAAATGAATCCTGCATATATTCATATTACAATATAATAATATCATGTACAACGAAGCATGAAAATATTCACATTCATCCAAGAAATACGATGGTTTCGCTTGAAATAAAACACACTTTCGCAGCACTCCTGGAGTTTTTTAAAACAACGTCGAACGCTCACAGATAGCGGTTTCAGGTAAAGAAAAACCCCGAACATTCCCTAAACTTATGCCTGACCATGGAAGATTACACCGGGGCTGTATCAAACTTAAAATCGTGTCAATTGTATCGTCACGCTGCCGAGCGGTTCCTTTGATCTTCATTACAAGTATCAGACGGGTGAACGTATATTATCCGCAAGGTGTCGCGTATGGAGCATTTGTTTTTTCATGCATTTTCCAGGTGTAAAACATTGGAGCATGTAAGTGTATCTAGAGCGGTACCCTTGGAGTTCGAGGATGACTCACATGATACTAACATAATTGTGTACAATGGATAATAAAGATAACAAACTTTTAATTCATTGTATACAACGTATCATGGACATTATGAAAATTACAATGTAGTATCAATTTGTGTAATAAATTGTGATAATATTTACATTACAATTACAATGTAATATAACTGTGTAAGTGAATAATGGACACATTCACATAACATATGTAATGACATTATTAATAATGGAAAAATTTGAATAATATGTTTTGATATAGAAAAAAAGTTCAAAAAAAGACTCCAGCCACTGTACTCATTTCGGGTTAGTATTTTAAAATCACTTATTAGTTCGTTGTTGATATGCTCTCAAAACATTATTTAATATTCCTGCTAATTGTTAAACTTGAAAATAAAAATTACTATCTAGACGACACGCACATTCTGGCAAATTGCAAATACTTGATAATCAATGTTTTAACTAAAAATTGCGATGTTGATATCTAAATTGATATTTCAGTACTAAAATAAGTGTTTGATATAAATGGCACATATATATTGTCATCAACATTCATCAGTAAATTTTTAACATATTGATTTTAATCAATCAAAATACAATATTCACCAGACTCCACACTTCTTATTAGGGTTCATGTAACTGCCTTTAGGGCAGCTGAAGGCTTCAGCAAACTCGGGAGAATTTTGTAATGTTCCAATGACCCTGAAAGTGTAAAAGAAATTAGACTATTATGTGTGTAAGTAAACGAGCATGTAAAGTGAGCATAGAGCAACAACAGAAACTTATAAAGGAAATGAAACGACAACCAACCTGAATTGTTTTAATGAGGAGTCGTATAGAACATGGTTGTATGGTCTCCTCAAAAACTATATGATTTTAACCTGATACGTACTGATATTTTTGAGGTACTTTAAGCATTTCAGCAGCAGGTTTGACATTACTTTAGGTAACATTTGACATCTGATTACGTATATATATTTATTCTGATTAAGCGACCATTATAAGACATGTTTTTATTGAATCTATTTCGTATTTGATTTGTAATACGAAAAATACAAAGATAAATACTAACATTAAGTAGTGTCAAATAAATACCAACTAGTACAAACTATATTATATTTAACAACTCATTTGTGTCATACATTCTATGCTTACATATATACACTTTAAGGGTAATACATTTCACATTAAACTTAAATGAGAGTGGTTACACACAGAGGTGTGACTGTAAGTGTCGAATACACGCAAAATAATTTCGATCATTAAAATGAATAAAGGCCAATCATTAGATTTATTTGACGGGGAGCTTCATGTCAGAGCAGACGTACCTAAATCGCCCGGGACTGTGTACTCCTGTGAGGATTCGATTGATGGCGTTTTCTCTGCGCATGCTAGCACACCAGATCTACAAACACAATAAAAGCACATGGTCACAGTTATATTAAGTGCAGTTGTATTCTAACGGTTTCATATAACCGCCATTAATGGATTTTAACCAAAATAATGATCCTTCATGACATGAATATGATGCACTAATTTTTCCTGAAATATGAGAAATAAAACAATTTAGTCACGTATTAATAGTTTTGAAATCATTAAAACAAACTATAATGTAATATCATATATTGACAAAGTGGCAATTAATTGCCTGCGTCCATCATGTATCCTATTAAATCCTATTAAATGAATACGAGTTATCTCCCTGTAACGAGTAGGCACAAGGTTTATACATTATGCAATTTTTATTTACACCAGCAATGAAGGAATACATTTTAATTCAAATAATATGTAGAAGCTTAATAATATAATATAACAAGTTAAATTGTATGCATCGTACAGTTCTTATTGATACAAAAGATGAATGAATTATAGGAATCAACGATTCGAATTCGTGTAACCTTTTCGTGTGATCAACTTATTGTTACTCAAAACGACAACGAGAAGGGCTAAATAAGTTAACACTATACACGGAATGATGACAGAGTTAAGTAGAGAAAACATGACAAATTTGTTTTGAAAATACTTCTGCACTTCATACATATGAATACATGCCCTGGGCAATTGTGAAACACTTATCATGGTATTTAACAAACTCGTAAGCACTTTTCAAATTGTGACTTTAAACAACGACATAAAAGTCAGTGTCATTAACAATATAATACATAACACAATCTCATAATAATCCTTCCTGTAGTTCATATCGTTAATAGCCAAACTAGCACTATGTTGATATTTACAAAAGCCATTTCAAAACTGTATTTAACTTTGTTTTTGTGACATTTATGTTGATGAAAAACAGTGTTGTTTCAGTAAATTGACTATTTTACATTAGTATACATGTATGCTTGAAAATTTCTTGCAATCACATTGGCCGGATCCCATACACGTGACTAGTCCTCAAAAACTCATGTAGACTGGTTATCCGGTGAATATCGATTTTTAGCTCACCTGGCACGAAGTGCCAAGTGAGCTTATGCCGTGGTGCGGCGTCCGTCGTCCGTCCGTCCGTCCGTCGTCCGGCGTCAATATTTTATTTTAAACGACTTCTTCTTAATAACCGAAAGGCCTAGGGTGATGATATTTGGCCAGAAGCAAACTGTGATGAAGGGCTACCAAGTTTGTTTAAATAAATGACCTTCATCTATTTTCAAGGTCACAGGGGTCAAATATGTTAAAAATTTTAAACAACTTCTTCTCAATAACCAAACTGCCCAGGGAGATGATTTTTGGTCAGTAGCATTCTAGGGTGAAGGGCTACCAAGTTTGTTCAAATGAATGACCTTCACCCATATTCAAGGTCACAGGGGTCAAATATGTTAAAAACTTTCAATAAACTTCTTCTCAATAACTAAAATGCCCAGGGTAATGATATTTTGCCTGTAGCATGCTGAGATAAAGGGCTACAAAGTTTGTTCAAATAAATGACCTTCACCCATATTCAAGGTCACAGGGGTCAAATATGTAAAAAAAAAAAAAAAAAAACTTCTGAATAACCAAAATGCCCTGGGTGATGATATTTAGTTTCATTTCAACAAATTTTATTGACAAAGTTGATACAAGTCAATTGGATGGAATAACAGGGAAAGCCTATATAAATTCTCTCCAGCGGTGGCTAAATTAACGGATTCTATTATTTTTATTTGATTAAGTTAATACATCAATTTTGAAATGAAAATTAAAAAAAAAAATATTAAAGGGATGTAACTCCTTCTTAATTAACATAACTGAAATACAAATACATTCACACTTCTCACATCACACACAAAACACTTCCACAGGTATTATTTATTTTTATAACATTTTACAACTGTATATAAGATATATAGCTATCAAATCACACAGATATTGGCAGACATTGACCAAAAGTCCATGTGCAAATATATGCACAGGTCACAGTCGCCAAAACTGTTAAGGTATTGTAGTTTAATATGAAAATAGATAGCTAGTCTATGTGTAATTCAATGTATAAGATGGAAACTGTAAAACAAGACAGATTGAACAAATCTTACAACAAACAACAACAAACAAACATGCTCAACTTAAAACTCCTATGTCCGTAGAAGAATACCATTTATAGAAAAGTAGGTAAAGTTACTTATTTGTGGAGTATAATTGGAATAGGAATAGTAAAGTATAAAAGTATAAAGTATAAGGTCATGGCTGGTTAGATCATATAGAGATTAAAACGCCTAGATTTACCAATAAATAACTGTACATCATTAAGTAACTGTCTGTTTGTTAGTCCATCACAATCAGGACAGCCTTGTAGAAAAATGTTTGTATCAATATGGTTATGATTTCCATAATTATCAACAGAAGTAAATAAAGTAAGTCTGAGATCATTATACAATGGACATTCAAGAAAGTAATGGAAAACTGTTTCATATTCAAAAGAGCAAGCACAAGAGGGACAGTCAGTTAAATGGTCATTGAATAAATCAAAATTTAAATTGCTACATAAGTTTCTAAGTTGACAAAGAATAATGTTGGCCCGTCTATCACCTTCAGTTTTAAAAATTAAGGTTGATTCATTATCGATAATAATATCTTTATTTAGTTTGTGTTTAAAGGTTGCAAGAGTTGGGGAGTTTAAGAGATCATTATCAGTAGTGTTAGTTGTGCGGCACATTAGAGGGAGGAAACTGTCAAAATAATTGTTAGTTCTGCATAT